TTATTTTGAAAAAAACAATGATACTTTCCTCCCTCCAAGTCTGACCTCTAAGAACCAGCCATATATTGTAAAAAACAATGCCACTTACTGTTTGCCAATACTATGTTAGTAGTGGTAATTTTTTATAGGTGCTTGTACACGTGCTAAATAGGGTTTTCAAAGACATTGCCTATTATCCTCACCAAATAAACTGAAAACTGAAAACATACTCTATAATTGCCCCCATTTTCGGTGCTGACACCCTGATGAACCTTGACATCGTTGACAGTTAACTTACGTAGAGCTCTTTAATTGCCCAACCCCTCCCTTACGACCTGACGACCCCGAACAGCTGATTAGTGTAGACCCACTATAATTAGCCTCCTTTTTGTTACTGTTACTTTTCTCTGACAACGGCCTCCCGTAAAAGTTCGAATCTTCATGATTATAAAGAAAATTGATCCGGTACTCGGCAGTCCTTCTTCCTACTCTAAGTAAAGTTTGATTGAACGATTGTAAGCAATTCAGAAGAAATGGCATTGCCAGCGGTTTTGGTAGTGCTTAATCTTGCTTAGTATTAGAGCATCTAAATGCTTCAAACATTCAATACCTGACTAAGAGCACTTCCACCTAGTAGCTCTTGATTACTTTTGATGGTAATATCTTTCGGCAGTGGAAAGGTTCTTTGTAAAGATGCTTGCCGATTTGTCCGACCTACTTGCGGCCCAGTCAGCAAGCACGCTTTTAATCCTTCCCAGGGAATGGGTGATATAATTTTCAGCTTAACCTGTTCTATTTACTTTGGCCTATATCTACTGTCATCCTTAATCTTGTAGTTTGTCATCGAAAAGTACCTGCCCCTGGTGGAGTTTCTCGAGCCCTTACTTTCAACCAAAAAGAAGGAAGAAATTGCAAAGTGTCTTGTAAATATTCACGAAAAAGCAGACAACAGCGATGTGGCCGGATTCCTGGCAAGCATAGTGAACCACGAACTGGACTCATATGGTAAAACATTTTTTACTAGTCCTACTCCGTAGTTCTCGTGTAAAATGCAAATCTGATATTATCTTTTTGTAAAAGTCAATTTACATTCTTAGACTACTATTGCATTTCTGTACAAGAAACATGTTAGAGTTTCAAAGGAATATAAATTTTACCTTAAAAATATGATTTAAAAGACATATTTCCCTATAATTACTTTCCTTATATCTGCGCACTTATTGACCAAGAGGCTTAAAAAGCCAAGTCCCCTTGATAATTAACCCCGTTCCTCTTTGATTTCTAAATTAAGCAACACTGGGCAGCAGAAGAAAAAGAACACGGCGACAATAGAAAATCCTCGAATTTCGCATGCAATCGGTTCACATTCAGAGGTTCTATCTGTCAGTAGTGGAGAATATGCGAGTTCCAGGAAGCAGTTGAGAAGAAGAGGATGCGACCACTGGAATATAAGTTTTACTTTCCTGACGTTTCGGATTCCGTCGGGAATCCTTAACTATAGGTAATGGTAGCATAGTCATAGTCATGCGCAGATAGGGTTGAAACATGCCCAGATGGCACGGTATTGATAGTTCATAGTGGACATCTGCGTGCGTACGATAATTATCTACTTCCGTAGTCACCGCCTGAGTCTTATTGCGGCGGTACTGGCTTGACACTTCGCGTTCGCCTCAGTAATTTCTACAATTGCACCAGACTCGAAAATTCACTAATTAAAGTTAACTTTATATTCCAAAAAACATATTCTTCTTCTTCTTCTTCTTCAAATATTCCTTTACTCTCCATTAGGTTTTATACTGTTACGCATATCTTCTGAGGTGTCCTGTGTAGCCGAATTCTGACATCAGCGGCGCCAAACAACTGAAAAATATGGTTTATTTGTTCGAGCAATATTTCAGTATTGTGATAAAAGTATGATAATCATGTTTACCATGTTTATAGGGCCTCGACACCTTGCTTAATCGATTATCTTGCAAATTAACTTAAGTATCCTACCCAGGCAGCGATTCGGTAAAGACTGTCTACGTATCTGCCACCCGCAGAGCGGTGTCAATAGACATTTCTGTTGACTGGCTGATGCAAAACGTAGAACGAAAGTGTGTTTGGTGGCTGTCAAAATGTAATAAACTTAATTTGGAGTTCCGTTGAGATCAAAGAATGTCTGCGTGACCCTAATAACCCGTCTAATTCTAACAAACACAAATGGTAGGGTTAGGGTGGGCGTGAATATGAAGGCGTGTCTGAGTCCCTACAAAAAACCGACTCACTTGAACGGTGACGGTAGGTGCATAAATTTATTTCCACTGCCAACGCGTTACCGCCCTTTTCAGTCCTATAAACTACACAACCTCCACTGCAAACTCTCCCGTACCTATCGATTGTGTACATACGTCAGGGGTTTACGAGCATTCACACAAACAATCGCCGCCCTCTTTAGTTCTAGCATTTGGCGATCTGTCTGGTCTCCTGCTGCTATGTCAACAGGTACTTTCTTGGTCACTTCACCGGCAGCTACATAACAGGAACTGCTGGCCAAAAGGACAACCCTTTTGGGCTAATGTAGCATATATGAGCACACGGTAACTGCATGAATGGATTGCAATCATATTTGCTGAGAGCGAGAGCGGCAGCGAATCGGGATAGACTGGCACAGTACTGTTTCGGGCTTATTCTGCCCTCATTCAACCAAGCATAACCCCGACAACTAGCTGGGACCGGAAATACAAACCTGCACTCGTGCAAACTGCAGACGCTCCAGTGGAGCAGTGTGTGCCCTATTCCTAGTTCAGGATTTATATATTTCAATCCCCTATTCCAGGCACTACGCACTGCTACTGAAAACACGTAATTTTTTGATCGCTCCCTTGAAAAAGCACCTACCATACCGGAGAAAAAAACGTGGTCCCTATAAATGAGCTCGTTAATGACGGTTTAGTACTGCATAAATAAAATGTGGGAATAGATTTGATCACTTTAACTGAATCATTTATGAAAAAAACCGAGACCAATAAGATGTTTGAGTAGACGTTAGCTGTAATATTTTAAATAGAGGGTCTAAGAACGTAACGTTTAATCAATGCAGAATAAGGAGTAGAGTAGAATCTCGGTTAACGAGTTTAATTCGTCCCGGTCCTGAGCTCTTCGCGCGATACGTTTGTCTTGCAAAACGTAGTCAAGCAAACTGCATCAGTTCGTTGATTGGCTGCAGGCGACCGATGACCCGCGGTCTGGGAGCAAGACTCAACGGGGCAGACGCAGGCAAACCCACGCACTGAAAACTCGTTAACTGAGCAGAAGCTCGTCAATCAAAAGAAATTGTCTGCTAGTGGCTCTCTGGTTACCTGGAATGCTCGTAGATAGAGCTGCTCATCATCCGAGGCTTCACTGTACACTGCTTTTCTGGGTTACTTGCAAGTTTCAGTGCGTCTCAAGCGCGGTCTGCAAGCGGAACGGGTTACTGAAGTTTGCGTCTGTTTGAAAAATATGCTAGTGAAACTAAGTGGAATCCTACTTTCACACCACTTGTTTTCAACGCTTAGGGGGCAGTTAGATAGTTTAGTTGATACTACACCTTGCACCCAGCATGTAGAAGACCCCAGTGTTAACTCATTATCTTAGTCTGTTAGATATAACCGTAGATAGAGCAAATAATGAGCCGCCTAGTTAATTTCCGAGAAGAACTATCATCGACATTTAATCGCCTTAAAATTTCCCGATTTATTTATCTCAAGTTCGGCATCGCTAGCATGAGGAATCATGTCGAATCAGTGCTACAGTCACGTGAATCATGACCTACATTATAATCTGCTAATACGATATGATTAGTTTCTCCTTAGAATGCCTTCCTGGTCACAAGGTAGTTTTATTATGATGCGGCATAAAGCAAAAGATCTACTGGGATTGAAGAAATCAGGAAACAGTAGGACTTCTTAAAGGATAAGGAAAACGGTCAATCAGAAGAGAAAATAAGTGGGATCAGCGTAGTATGTCTGTCAATGTGCATATTTCATTGATGCGATTAGACAAAAGCGACAGATAATATAAGTGTTCCTTTGTTGCTTTATGGATCACTGCAAGCTTGAACTCAATATTTTATTCGCTAACCACCGAAGCATATCACTTTGAATGTAAAATATTGAAAGATAATTCTTCAATTAATTAAGAAAATATTCGTTTTTTCTACAAGATTGTCAAGAAATTTTAACTCGGATGCTGGAATTGCACGGACAAATTATGCTAGAAAACTTGTCTTCCTTTTGTTTGCATAATGGGCTGTATGGAGTAGTTTCAGCATCAGTTCAGGTTTACGGCGCATATAATTTTCTCGACCTTTATCATCGCTTCATTAGATCTTTATTTGCTTTTGTAGATAATCTGTCTCTGCTTTTCCGATCGAACTCAATTGGATCAAAAGCCGTGGAATCGTACGTCAAGTTAGTGGCTGCCGAGGTATGAACTATGATGGATCAAAGAAACACCATAGATTACTAATAAAAGTTATAAAAAATAAGGAAAGTGGCTTAAGCTCGATAATTAGTTGATTATGCCATGATGGTCGTGGAGAATTGAGGTTGAGGATATTCAATATTTTTATATTGTTTGCCATCTACTTTTCTGAGAGAATGTCAGTCAGCAGATATTTCTTATTAGGGCGGGCAGTTTCGACATGAGCGTAAGCAATGTGATGCACAACATATCGCATATCCCTGAAATCATGGTTTTCCTGCCGAAAACTGGTGAAATTTTAAGACGCCTCAAACCTTCTAGTGCAGACCAAAATTATATTCTGTGAATAAAAAGAGAATCCAGCCAGGGCAATAACGTTTAGAGAAGGAGAGGATGTGTTCACTGGAATAAGCATTTTATTCGCCTGACGCTTCGAAATCTGACCCGGACCCCTCATCAGCGACAATAGTAGAAATAGGTTGTCACAACGATCATATCTGCTTTTGGTACCCGCGTGTTCACTTGTATTGGCGACCTCTAGAGAAGTTGGTACAACTAGTCAACATCATTGTTGATACGAATGAACGCAGGAAGAGAAAGTACATATTTATACGCACAAATTTTAAAATAAAAGCACCGATCTCAGGAGGATTTTACAGTGTTTTTGCTTGCGCCGGCTAATGTCTGGTCAAGTGTCATGCGTCATTGGGCTCTCAGAAAGGTATGTCATCCGTGCGACTGGTATTCCTCACAGTGGTGGGATTTCTCAAGCGTGACTGCTGTCCGTAACGGATGAGAGAGGTGATTCACTCACAGTGCACCAAGGAGCTGGCCAAAAAAGCAGATTCCAGTATTTACACAAACAACAGGGTAAGATGCGCGCGGCCAAACTGTTTTTGTGCCTTTGGCTTGGGTAATTGACAACTGACAGGCTGAGTCAGCTCTCCTCTGGACTGAGAACTAGACTACAGGGTTCCTTTTTAAATATGGCCGTTATCACACCTCAGCATACGTAGGACTGAAGCTCGTATGTTGAATTGGTTCGATAAAAGTTTTTTTCAACTCTTACACCCCGTCTACCCACCGGTGGGATCGACACGGCAAGCCAATGCCTCTTAGGATAGGGGAAGAGCGAGAGGTCAAGGCAGCTCAGGGCCAACACTAAATATCTCGCAAAAAGCAGCCGAACGCGCGTTTAGATGGGAGGTTGCAAACTTTCGTGATACCTCTGTTCAAATCAGGACTGCAATGCTTTATTCTTGCTATGACACTCCAGGAGTCTCTACTCAAGCAGGCTATGAGATTCTGTGAGGGTACCCTTTTATATGTGTAGGTAAGGACTAGCTAGTGTACAGCAAATACGAGCCGACCGTTAAGCATCATCCGTCTTCGAGAAGTTTTTTTTCCTCGAATCACTGTGAAGGTGGGGAAATTTAAGTGGGACAGCTGCAATGCAGTCCCTCTGTCCTGCGAAAAACTTCCCGCGCAAGCTGCCACCACCCCTATCCCCACGTTCACGTCATTTTGTGTTGCTGCATCTCGTGATCAAATAAAGTTAAAAGATAGGTTAGCGTCTCCCTCCCTGATCGGCGCTATCGAACTCTTCCCGCGAACTATGGATTGAGGTTTCCAGACAAAAGACTGGATTTTTTGTTCCGGTAAACAGCCAGGGCAGATCGGTAACCGTCACTAGGATCCAATTTGCATACTGCTGTACCAGGTGAAAATCGGAAAGACAGAGGTAGCGACTGCCTTTTGTTACAACCTAGTTGGGCTGAACGAATCTAATAGGCTTAAACACCGCCATCATGGTTCACGTCTAGGGACACCGTGGCACCTCGGTGCATGCATTCTTTTGTAACCAGCCAGCTGCTCTGGCGCTGACTAGATTTCTATTGAGCCTGAAGTAGGTGCCTATGATCTTCTTAACGTTGCGTTTGGCACTGAAACTCTAACCAATCTTTTAGCTAAGACATTCAACAGAGAAAATTGTGACACTCCTTGATGAACGTTCACTGGCCGCTAACAGAAACCACTTGTCGCGTGCTGCCATGGCTTTCATTTCTCGGGCCCTGACAGCAGCCGTAGCGGTTTGTAGTCTTACGCAGATAGGATTGGCGGGAAAAGCAAGGGAGACTGGAATGGCTACTTCTGGCTTATTAGTCGTCGTCAGCCGTCGTTAGCGGTCGTTGAACGTTCATCAACGAGGGTCAATATCTCCCGACCTAGACCGGCAAGATAACGGGTGCGTGGCTCAATGGTTACAGCGTTAGACTGATCGAAAAGGCCGCCAGTTCGGGCCCCGGGTAGCGCACCAGTTGGAGTTGGGTATGACAGGTTGAAGACGGCTACATAGCCACAGATGACCATTCCAGTCTCCTTTGTCACCCCCGGCAATACCATCTGCCTAACAGAATATATTTTAGTTGCACGAAAATCAGAAGCTTCTGATGTACCTTGAAGAATTGGGGATATTTTCTGCCTATAATACGAAATGGACCGCCCATTTAAACTACTATTTGCTAATCCCATTAGAATATTTACCGCAACTGGCCTTAACTCAACTGTTTGCCTGAATAATTTACTCACTTATTCTTCTCCGCTTCTAGTACCTACAAACCCTGTTCAAAACCTTCATTGAAAACCTTATAACATCAATGGATGATCTGGAGGTTGACCCCAGCAGACTGATGTGCACGAACTCTTCCGGCTCAACCTCCTCTTCCACCTCAAACTTCAGCTCATCCGACAGTAACGGTCGACTTGCTCAAAATCAGAGGGCTCTCATGAATCTTGTCAAAGTTGTTTGGGCGAAGGTGAAGGCCAGTCTCGAATATTTCCCACAGTAAGTACGCCTACCAGCGCCAACGCTAAGAAGACAAATTTTATTTAAAAATCTGCTATGACTAGTCTCACAAACATCCTGGGGAGGACCTTGTAAGATCTTTCTCAAAAGTGGACAATGAGTTTACTCGTGTTCGGATACTGATAAAAAGACAAAGTAATATTTATGTATTGGCATTAGATTTGATGGACAAAAATGTGCTTGCGACTAGGAGTAGCAGAAAGTACATATACTTGATATTATTTCGTGCGCGTTGCTATTTTGAAATACCTGGTGCAGAGGTCACAAGCGCAGCTGAACGTTTTGCAACTTTGCAAACGCTTATGTGCAAGATAAGAGAAAAGAAACCACTCCCATCCGGTTCGGAGAGTTTGCACTAATTTCCAGGGGGAATTAGCGGTAATGTACAGTTTCGAGTTGCGGGGTCATACTTGAGCTTTGCATTAAGATGAGACATGATCTCAAGGTTAGGCATATACTTAGGTTTTGTCTTAGGGTTAGGGACAGATAAATATTGCTGGGGGATTCCTATTCCAGTTGTCTATCCGTTTATTTAAATTACTAATTGGTAGTTGAGATCTCTTGCTAAAAATTACAATATACCAGGTAGCGTGATACTGAGATCTAATCTGGGGTTACACTTATTTCGCGTAATGATACTTCGAACATGGATCCAAAAAGATCTTAAGGAGCACTAACATCTCTCAGCCCCGTGTTTAAAAAGTACAGCAGCCACCTGAAATATATTAAAATGTTCATGAATCACACGATGTTTCGCCTTTATGCTTTTCCAGAAAATATGCATATCTACCTGTTTTTATATATGACAGGGAAGAAATTAGCAAAACCAACGGAAATGTCATAGTCCACGCTACCAAATGAGCACCACCGAAAAATTTGCGGATCATCTGCAAGACAAAGCCTTCGTTAAGTTTTTATGCAGTGGTAATAGGGGTATCCACTTGGCATGCTACAGCGTATAAAGCTGCGCAAAGATAATGTTCAGTGAACGGTGTGTGTTCGGTGTGAACCGCTTTCATCTGGTAATTATAATACAGAAGGTGCTTCTAGTTCACGGCGAAATTTAAACTTTTAATGAGGATGTCGGCTGAAATCGGCCATCCAAAATTCCCCTGGCTCTAGCTTCTCAGCGGTGGAATCAGAACTACGAGAAACAAGTAACTGTAGGTGGATAAGTTATCCTAAAAGGTACTACTTATGGTCAATTTGTATTATCCGAAACAGATGGTAAACACGAAAGTACTCGACTGCATACGCATATTTAGTTGCCAGTATCAAAATAGGCCAACTTTTCAGAGCCAGCTGACCTGCACATACATATTCTATAAGAGATTCCAGTGTTAACGGCGTTCAGCCAGCATTTTCCTGATTGCACTACTAAGATTGAATCATCTGTGACTTTTTAAGCAATGGAGTGTGTCGGAAGACATGATTCACTGCGCTAATCACGATGCTTATCCTGTTATGCAAAACCGCAAGAAACTGCGATAGATTTTACCGAGGAAAGGAAGGGAGAATGAATGCGTGAAACTAAGATAGAAATGATTGCAAGCTTTCTGAACTGTTTCTTACGAACGCTGTCTTGTGGCTTGCTACATTGGAGTTGGAAAGCAAAAGGCAGTCATCTGTATTGCATCATATAGGCAACATAAAACACAGACCATGTGCGACTTAAAGAAACCACTGACCCACGCCTGACAACTAAAATACCCCATGCCAATGTGGCAAAAATTCTCACGAGAGAATTCAGAAGAGCAATTGGTGAGCATATGTGAGCTTTCGATAAAATGTCATCGTACCAGTACACTTATATGGAAAAAGGGTTAGAGGTAAAAAATGCAGTCAGTTATGTTCGTTATTTCATCCGAATGAGTCATGGGAATAGGGGGGTGGGGGTACACAAGAGACGCTGTGTACGCGACGTGAAGGTTTAGTGGAGCCGGTCAATGGGGA